CTTCCTGCATGTCCTGCTGACCTTGACATTGACTCACTGTTGGACAGAAGTCAGACGGGCTTCTAATCCTGACAAATCTCCGCAAAACCACTTGTTCTGTCCTGCATTAAGCAAGCGAGTCGAGAGGATGGAGACACAACACGGACGTGGGGCAATCTGAGATGGAAAAGCTTCTTTTGGGCGTGATTAAACGGCTAATCCAATAGTGGCGATATGCAGGCCGAGGGAGAGGAGTAGAGAGAAAAAGAGAGGCAGAGCATCAGCAGAAGGATTGTGGTCGGACGAAGGCTGAGCTACCCATTCACAGCTCGGCACTGAAGAGCGCTCAAGATGATGAGCTCCCTTTGAGCTGCAATCAAAATGCTTCTCCGTTTTGCAGGCAGCATCAAACACTCGCTCCTCTCTCCTATTCTTTTCTCCCCATTCTTCTCCCTCGCAACCCCCCCACCCCACATTCTTCATGCATCCAGTGAATGCCTAGCAGCTGCTGTTAATTAAAGGACTTTGGAGGCTCAAACAACACTGAATTAGAAGGAGAAGAAAATAAGGAGTGGAAAGAGAAAAACAGCAGAAATACCAACGGCGGTTAGCTCATCGCCTCCCTCTCTGCTGGACTCTTGCCTCCTCGTCATCTCAAATCAAACTAACGTCCTTCCTTGCTCCTAATTAGCCCCCTTAAAATGCTGCACCCCAACAAACAAGCACAGGCACCGAGAGAAAAGGTACAAAACACACGGTTTGGGGGAGAAGAATGCAGGATGGATATTGTGGACGGCAGCCGCTGAAGGAGTGGAGGAGGCTGATCAAAGTAGGGAGGTGTCTGTGTGTGGCAAGCCAGCCATCTCTGGAGCGAGGAAGAGCGGATTCCAGAAGCAACATAGTCTAAATGGGAGAAAACAGTGAGCTGAGCTGAGAGGGGATGAGATGAGTGGCACAGTTTAGAGGCTAAGGGAGGTGAGATGTTGCGGGAAACAGAAAGATAATTTCATAAAACCAACAACGGCTTGAGGCTGGATGAGAAAAGGAGGCTGAAGGAATCAGCAGCTGCGGACGGCACACGGGCTGGTACAGAAATGCAACTTGGGATGAGTGGGATGTCGGGAGCTCTTCACAAGAAGGATGCAGCTGCTTTTCTCTGGCAGCGTTCGACACAATCATCCGTCTATTCTTGCTCTTCACATTCAGCGCTGACGTTTATTAGAACGATTTAACCACGTCGTTACACACGTTAGGCTAACAAAACTACTTTTGTTGGAAAATATTTCCCAACAGGTCGTGACAAAAAGCAAAGTCATGGATGTAAGACCACTTCCTGGATTTAGAGACACAATTAGTGGACTTGGACTGTAAAAGATAACTAGATGAATAACGAGGAATGTGGAAACTAAAGGAAATAATAATAGTGAATTTCATCATTTCAAAATGTTCTTGTACATTTCAGCTAATGATTTAGAAATCGGACCCTTTTTCACTGTCGGCCCTTTATTTTGTCACTTTACTGAACAGCATTTCTAAATTGGTCTGGATCTCCTGCTGCTGACGACCAGATTCCAACAGTCGTGTCAGATTTGTAGAATCGTTGGCCCATGGGTGTTATTCTTTGTCCACTAATGAGGAGAAAGGCTATATTGGTGCTCCACTGGGATTAGGTAATAACTGTTTCCAGCATCACTCGACTGCTGGCATAAATGATCAATTTCCATCCCTAAAATATCATTTCCGTTGGCTTTTATAGCCACGATTGCCACTAACGGTGATGGTGTTGCTTTGCAAAATGACATGTTGCCATTTAAGTGTCTTTTAACACCTTGTTTCTTCATACATTTGTAATAGTAAGCACCTCTGTTAAAGAGACAACGTGTAGTTTTGATCTCTGGAAATATCCATCAAAATGTTGTTGAACATTAATTAAATGATGCCCAGTTATTGAAAATGGGTATAAAATACATGTCTAAGTCTCAGAGTGACGCCATATTAGACGCCATGTTTTCTCTACGGGAGCCTGTGAGGGCAAACTCACTCATTTGTAACACGCAGTTACATTTCTTTCACCTTTCCAAAACGTTGTTTTACACATTTACCTCTTCACTCGTTGCCAGTGATGAAAGCAAGTCTGGTGTGCTTTTCATTTAGCTGGAAGTTGCACTCCCAGGGAGTTTTGACCCTAATGGCCATCCATCCAAAGTTACGGTCTTACGTTAACACTAAAAACACCGCTTGCTTGCAATTATTTAGATATGTACTGCCCCCTATTGCCAGGGAAAATGCACACTGTGACTTCAACAGAAGACGCGTTACTGAGGTTAGCTGATCTATTACAGTTACAAACGCAGTAGATTCAGAAAATAAGATTATTAAAAGATCATTTTAGCCATGCCTTAAATTCTACCTTGTTTAAAGAGCAAGTCACCCCCTACCACAGTCTAACTCCACTCCCACTTCATGTTTGAAAAATGCAACAAATGCTGTTGCCTGGCAGACCGAGAAGGCGGAGGTGCTAACAAATACACACACACACAGGCTCACGACAGCATTGTGACATCATAATGTACCAGTTTACATCATAGCATACCTCTTAGCCAATAGCGGTGGCAGATTTGAATTAAAATACAGTGCAGAGTTTTTACCTGACAACGGCACAACACTGCCAGTTTTAGGCAGAATATTTAAATTTTAACTAAGATGCACTGAAGTGCCAAATTATTGACGACACGTGTCTGCAGCACGATTAGACACTCGTTTATTTAGTTTATCAGCAAAAAAATGTTTATTTGGGGTGACTTGCTCTTTAAGGTGCTTTAAACCAGCTGTTATTACAAGTGAATCTGCTAACATCTCATGGACACATTACAAACGCCTTGTCTCCAAGAGATTACCTAAGGGTGTGAGTTTATGAAAATGTGTATAGTTTTCAAAAATGGCCTGCATTTGATTTTATTTGTGCATACAAGAAGAAATAAAACTGAGAGTCTCTGGTACAGCTCTTTCAGCTCTTCAGCAGCAGAAGGAATTGCTTCTTATTCTTGCTGTAACTTTATTTCCTCTGTGCAGTAACTCTGCTGGAGCTGACAGGGGTCCTGCCACACTTGGAGCAGGGTCAGGATGGAGAAAGGGGGATTAGGACCAGAGACAGGTGGCAGAAAGGTCCCCAGAATCGAGCGAACAGATGGCTGATCCAACTTAAATCACGATTCTGACCTTTTCTCCCCTCAGCACAATCCACACGTACACGTGCCCGTGCATACATGCACACACGTGTTCTTCAGAACGGTGTTCCACAAAGCTGTTCCAAAGATTCTGGTATCAATGATTCAGATTCCCACCAACTTTAAAATCTCCATCTCTTCCACACGATACAAAAGCATGTGATTAACAGCCGAGCGCGAAGGCGTGTGTTGCGGTAAAAGATCTCTGTGTGAAGGCACGCAGACTGCAGGGAATAACAGAGGTTTAGCCGGCCCCGCCTCTTCCTCTGCAAGCGCACGCTGAATTACCTTGTCGCTAGGCAATTATTTGTCCTGTCCCAGCTCTGGAGTGGTGTAAATTACTTTAAGTGCACTTTGCTGGGGCCGCCATCACGATAATGATAATTGCAGCGATGCTGCGACACACGCAAATATTCAGCTATACCTTCAGAGGGAGTCTGCATTTAGGAGGGGAACATCTGAAGACAGATCAGCTAAGAAAAAGACCAGGGTGATGGCAGACTGTCTAGAATCGGTTTGCATTTGGCATCAGTTCAATGCTATCTGTATGTATACATAGGGGCAGCAGCAGCTCAGGTGGTAGAGCGGGTTGCCTCATGATCGGAGGGTCACGGGTTCGATTCCAGCTCCCGCCAGGGGTATCCTGCTGTGGTGTCCCTGGGCATGACACTTCACCCAACTTGCCTGTGTTAGTGGTGGTCAGAGGGGCTGACGGTGCCAAAGGGCAGCCTCGCCTCTGTCAGACCTCCCCAGGGCGGCTGTGGCTACAAGCAGCTTACCATCAATAGCAGTGTGTGAATGTGAGAGTGTGTGGAAAGCGTCTTTGGGCGTCTGGAAAAGCGCTATATAAGTTCAATGCATTATATATATATATATATATATATATATATATATATATATATATATATATATATATATATATATATATATATATATATATATATATATATATATATATATATATGTACTTTTATTTTTAAATAAATTTTGTTAACCCTTTGATGCATGAATTATGAAATCTTCAACCATGATTTTTTTTAAAAAAATTTCATTCGTCTTTAGGTGTGAACAAAACAAATTTCAACAAATATTTGTTGTTAAATTTTATAATTTACAAATAATTTATTACATATCCACCTTGGTGGACAACATGCATTCTGAACATGAAATATGTTGGCTTGGCTTACTGAAGTCCAAATGGAGGGGCTCAAATGCAATAAAGTCTTCAACAGTTGTGCTTAATAGCAAAAACAAATAAATAACAATTTTGAGTACCTCTCCACTGTAGTGACCATTATGCACCAAAGGGTTAAGGATGTATCATTAATTTAGCAACTTTTTTTTTTACCCCCTTTCAGTCTGGCTGTCTGGTAATCATCTTGCAGTTTGCGTTCAGCCCCAGCAGGTGTCACTGATGGCGTAGGAGGCAAATACCCCCTAAGTTTCCATTCTTCAGCAATCACAAGTTGTCTCCCATTTAAATTCTGTTATGTTGCGAAAACTGACTTTCTTTAAATATCAAGTCACGTCAGAACAGGGCAACAGCCTATGTGGCTGCTGCAGCAAAGAGCCCTAAACCTGATCTGCACCTCTGAGGCGCAGCTTTCAACTTCCAGACAGACGCTGTCTCCTTCCCTCAAACTCTGTTTCGTCTTAGATAAACGTTGAAGAAAAAGAAAATAAACCTGTGTGCTTTTGTGTCGGGGACACTGAAGGCCATTCCAGGAAATGTCAAACAAAATCTGCAAGGAAGGAGGCTCTAAACAGATGTGATGGTGACTGAAGGGTACTCACATGTTGTGTAGAACACACCAGCCACAGTGCGGGTCCCCGGAGCTCAGACATTCCCCACAGGTCCCGTACTGCTCACATGACTCGATGGGAACCTGTGTCACCTGCAAACACAGGAAAAAATATATTTCAAATACTTGTTTGAGGTTCATCGTGGGTCACTGTGCTCCTGTTTGAGATGTCAACTAGACATGCAACAGTTTCTGTTAACTGCGACCACAAAAGCAGCTGTGAGCAGCTGGCATCACTTGGCCGAAGAAGGCTGTTTCTCTGCCATCAATAGGCGTCTGTCTGCCCCACGGCATCTGTCCACCTCGACAGAGCAAACGCACCTACACTTGATGGAGCGGTGACAGATGGAGCAGCTTGATGGAAAAAACTCACGTTATGAGATGGTATCAGGTTTAAGTTTGTTTGTAAAGTTCAACAGTAACTAAACCACCTGACAGACAAAGGTGCGCTGTGAAAACAGGAACATGACTGTCAGGACTTTTACCAGATCAGGACAAATGTCACCAGATCTGCATCCCAAAAAAGGAAATCTGATCCACGTGTTTGTCAATTTCATCGTGACCTCTTGGTCTTTTGAGGTCAAGTACACAGAAAGAAATCAATACTGTAGTTGCCATGAAAGGTGTTTAAATGACAATTGTTTTCCACCCATAAAAGTCCCACGTCACTTTAAATAATTTATAATCTGCTAACAAACATGTTTAATTGTTCTGTTATTAACATAGTTCACTGGCCAATGAATCGATCCTAATGAAACTCATTGGATTTACATGTATAGCTGATTAACTGTTAGGATCAACTCAATTAAAGATGGCCAACGCAGCCAAGGGACATGTGAAAATACTAAAATGACTGCACCTAAGTCAGTTTTACAGCTGGAGTTTGGTGTTGCAGTCGCTAAAAAACAATTTACAACACATGATTTATAAAAGCTTTCAGAAAGACACTACTGGACAAGAGGCAATCCAGATGATGCAAGTATAGTACAGTATATGTTTATTTGACATTAAACAAGGAAAGATGCATCGACGCCGGGTTATAGCAGAGAGGCTAATTTCCACCTGCAGTCCCTGGGCAGGTTGATGTTATAGTCATACGAATAGACTAATTCCAAGTATTGATTAATAAACGCCTATAGCATTAACATATGTGTGATGGTATGATAAAAACCATCAGTAATTCAGTCAGTTTAACATATTTTGACTCTAAATCCTATATGGTAGTGGCTGAAACAAGAATCAACACAAATTCTGGTCGCTAACAGATTAAACCGATGCTCGTGCCTACGTTACCACGCTTAGGTTTGACTAAAATTGCAAAACTTGGTCAATTTTCATCATCAAATGACATCAGTTTATAAATCTGAGATCAACGGTGTGTGGAATTACTTACTGAGAAAAAAACTTGCATACTGACATGTATATCATGTATATCAAATGAGTATATTTCTATGTAGTATGTCTGAAAGTACCACAGATATATGCAACACCCACACCTGTGTGTGTGTGTGTGTGTGTGTGTGTGTGTGTGTGTGTGTGTGCGCGTGCGCATGCGCATGCATGCATGCTTGTGTGTGTGTGTATGTGTGTGTGTGTGTGCATGCATATGTGCGTGTGTGCATGCGTTCGTGCGTGTGTGTGTGTGCGCGCATGCGCATGCATGCTTATGTTTGTGTGTGTGTGCGCGTGTGTGCATGCGTTTGTGCATGTGTGTGTGTGTGTGCGCGCGCATGCATGCTTGTGTTTGTGTGTGTGTGCGCATGTGTGCATGCGTTTGTGCATGTGTGTGTGTGTGTGCGCGCGCATGCATGCTTGTGTGCGTGTGTGCGTGCATATGTGCATGTGTGTATGCGTCCGTGCGCGCGCGCGTGTGTGTGTGTGTGTGTGTGTGAGTGTGTGTGTGTGTGTGTGTGTGTGTGTGTGTGTGTGTGTGTGTGTGTGTTGTACTTACTACATACTGAGGACCATTTAGACCATTTTCGCTACAATGCAAGGACATTTTTCCAAGAGAGGAATTTTTTTTTGGTCCTCACTTTTTCCAAAGTCTACTACTGTAGTTGGTTTTAGAGGTATGGTGTGAATTAAGTTTCAATTAAGGTTAGTGTTAGGAATAGATCAGCAATGGTTAGGGTTAGGGTTAGGCATAGTGGAGTCACAAAACGGAATAGAAGTCAATGGAGGGTCCTCAATAGAATTACAGACGTGTGTGTGTGTGTGTGTGTGTGTGTGTGTGCGTGCGTGCGTGCGTGTGTGTGTGTGTGTGTGTGTGTGTGTGTGCATGCTTGTGTTTGTGTGTGTGTGTGTGTGTGTGTGTGTGCGTGCGTGCGTGCGTGTGTGTGTGTGTGTGTGTGTGTGTGCATGCTTGTGTTTGTGTGTGTGTGCATGCATATGTGCGTGTGTGCATGCGTTCGTGCGTGTGTGTGTGTGCGCGCATGCGCATGCATGCTTGTGTTTGTGTGTGCGTGCATATGTGCATGTGTGTATGCGTCCGTGCGCGTGTGTGTGTGTGTGTGTGTGTGTGTGTGTGTGTGTGTGTGTGTGTGTTGTACTTACTACATACTGAGGACCATTTAGACCATTTTCGCTACAATGCAAGGACATTTTTCCAAGAGAGGAATTTTTTTTTGGTCCTCACTTTTTCCAAAGTCTACTACTGTAGTTGGTTTTAGAGGTATGGTGTGAATTAAGTTTTAATTAAGGTTAGTGTTAGGAATAGATCAGCAATGGTTAGGGTTAGGGTTAGGCATAGTGGAGTCACAAAACGGAATAGAAGTCAATGGAGGGTCCTCAATAGAATTACAGACGTGTGTGTGTGTGTGTGTGTGTGTGTGTGTGTGTGTGTGTGCGTGCGTGCGTGTGTGTGTGTGTGTGTGTGTGTGTGCATCCCACAAGGCAGTCACACTCACACCTGCATCTCAGCGTGTCAGCTTCAGTAGCTGCACATATCCTGACACATAGAGCAACAGAAACACCTCCAGGGCACGGCAGATTAACGGCTGACGAAGAGAATCTCCAAGCATGAAACAGATTCATTTGAGTTCTCTGTCTTTTAATTTTCTGGTACCTGCCCTGCCGGATAATGACGGCAGACAGTGTTTGTCCTTGGGATTAGATCAACACCCACCGTTTTAAAGTGTTTCTCTGACCCTGAGCAGATCTCCCACTCAGTGGTATCATTCTGTTTAGCTAAAATCATACTGGACTGCACATTTTGGAGACAAAGGGTTAACAGCATTAGCTAGTAAGTTTCCAAATATCTCAAACAAAAAATTCTCAGTTTTCACACGAGCCACTCCATGTGATCCTGGGATATATAAAACTTGGACATTGTAGGTGTGAAATCAGCTCGATGCCAGCTGACATTTTGCAGTTTCTTTCAATTTCTTTGTCTCCAACAAGTCGCCAACAGCCACTGCCCAGTTAGATACTGAAGTTTAAATTATTGTTGGCAATGAAGACAAAACAGCTGAGTTTCCATCCAGTGTTTCTCTTTCTGACTGTACTGTATCAGGTTCACAAACATCTGATGGTGAAACCAGTGACATGTGTCCACCCTGCTTCTGCAAAGTTTGAAAACCCGTCAGCTGCTGTGAAAACCGTGAGCTGTACGAGTCCCAGCCTATCTAATTTTCCTTTGTTTTGCCTTCTCCCCAGCCATCTGAGAAGCTCAATAAGCATCCACCTGTCTGCCTGGTTCTAAAGCCTGCGGCAACAGAAAGACGTCCCAGAGGACAAAGGAAACCATTGACTCCGTGGGGATTTGACGGTCTGTGTCTATGGACACTCCTGTTGGATTAACCCCCCGTCACTTCAGCAAACTCTGTTTGTGTGCGTGTCATGCCTAGCTTCAGGACAAACAGGTGGCATGCTGTAATGAGCTGCAGACGGGGTCACATCAGCAGCAGAAGAGGCAACTGATGACAAACAAGCCCACCAAGACGGAGATTTGAGTGAGGGAACAGCGCTGCGTGTGTGGGTGTGTGAAACTCCAAAGCTACGAATCCTTAACCCAAAGAGAGTCTCAGTTTTCTTTGAGCGCCGGCTTGAATCTATGGAGCAGTATCACCGCCACCTACAGAAAGTCCTCAGATCTTTCCCAAAACATGCACGAGACTGTTGAAACTTAAGAGTATACCTTCCCCAGAAGCACAGCCCCGTGAAAGGGTTACAGTAAGGAGACAGCTGTCAGAGAGAGGGGGGAGGAGGGGGTGTCATTTAGGGAGGAGGGGGTGAAAAGACAAACAGAATCACCTCACCTACAGTGAAACATTGGAACAATCAAATTAAAGTGTGGGGGACAAAGGGGTGAGACCTGAAAAGGTAGACTGGTAAAAAGTGTGCACACGTGTGGTGTGTGTGCGTTCCCGTCCCCGTGAGTGTGCCGATGTTCGGACCAACGCGGGTCAGAGGGGGTATCGGGTGAAGGAGGGGGATCACAGCAGCTGTTGCCCAGCACACGCTACAGTCACTCAACACAGCAGGCCTGCACAATGAAGCCCCTTCTCCCACTGAGTGTGCATGTGTTTGAAGGCACACACGCACAGCGCCACGACGGATGTGCAGATTGTTGTTCTGGTGCTTTTAAGGAGGACAAAAAGAAGCTTTGCATGTGATCCGCTGACTTTCTCTTCATCGGCTTCCCAATAGCACGCATGGGGTAAAGCTGTCAGTGAGAAATCCTGCTCCCTACGTTTAAATGAATGCTAATAAAATTCCAGCTGGAGATGACCTCAGCAGCGGGTTGTTCAACCAGAGAAGCTGCAGTGAGGGAGCACACCGGAGCGAGCTGGGCGACGGAGTGACAGCTGAGGGTTAAAACAGCTTCCTCTCGTTCAGCTTCGTGCTGACCATTGACTAATAAAGAGCATTGTCTCTTTTACTGAAACGTATAGCAGGGATTATGCGTGATTGTCCAGCTTTAGATGGCTAAGACTTTCATGCAGAAATACAAAGTCCATAAAAGCTTCATGAAATGAGGCAGTCATCTGAGAGGAGATGTACTTCTGCAGGAAGTGTGTGTTAGGTGTTTGGCGGCATCTTTAAAGCTTAACAGTTTAACATCTGAGCACATTTCTCTTGTCTTATTTATTGTT